CATTTTTAGGGTGGGGTAATGTTAGGATGCTGTTATGATGCTGTTATGCTGTTAGTATTGTTGGATGTTAGTGCTAAGCATCCTATCTGTTAGTAATTGTTGATTGTTAGTACCAATAATAATTGGGTGGTTAGAGATAAGATTTGGGAAATATCTTGTAACTGCCTTAGCTTGCAGTTTGGTATAAATACTGAACACTTGTGCAAATGCAGGGTATGATTTGTAAAAGATGTTGTTGAAGTAATACAAGAGAAATACTAGCATACAGGTGCAAGGTTAGAACAAGGGTCTTATTATTGCTGAGTAGCACAGACATGACCCCGAACCCATTTCTCTGGACAAGAATAACACAACCCCTTTTTCCTACGATCTTGAAGTTCTTCAAAGGACAGTTTCCTCACATTACTAGCCCGCGATGTGCTAGGAGAAGAATTATGACCAGAGAACAGAGGCACAGATTTTGAGGTGGTAACATTACTGAAAGAAGACGCAGAATTTCTGGAGAAATGTCGAACCTTGGTATCTGAGAGTTTGATGTCCAATTGGAAAGCCAGAGCAATTGCTTCATGTACATCAGATGGCCGAAGCAATTTGACATCGTGGCGCAACTCCGGTATCAGTCCTCCAATGAAACAACTGCGTAGCATTACTGGACCAATCTCCGTAGTCCGATTCGCTAACCGACGAAACTCAGAGACGTACTCCTTAAGAGAACCCAACTGCTTCAATTGAACTAGGGCTTCGGTAAAGTCCTCGAATTCAGAGGGCCCAAATTCTTTACAGAAGACATGAACAAAATCTTTCCAATTTGGATAATTCTTGATGCAGTTCCGCCATTGAAACCATTGTAAAGCTTCATTGTCCATATGGAAGGAAGCCATTCGTACCTTTTGTTTATCGTCGACAGTGAAGTAATCGAAATAGTGCTCTGCCCGGTAAACCCATGCCAAAGGATCATCGCCATCCGAGAAGCGAGGAAACTCAAGCTTGATCAATGGCGGCCGTGGTTGAAATGACGAATCTTGACGGGAAAAACGCTGACCCATATGATCAATTGGATCCGAGAAGGTTTCTTCAGAACTACCCATGGGATTTGAAGAATTTCCATGAAGAGGACGATCAGTACCCGCCAAATGAAATTCCAAGGCTGCGAATCGCGACTCCATGGATGCGATTACAGTGGACAAGTTCTGCATTGTTGACCCGATCGTCGCGACGGAAGATTGGATTTCTTGAACCGAACCTTCAAGAGCTGCAACTCGTGTATCCATAGTTTTGGCACGCGTTGTTGCTCGCGTCATACAAGAAGGGAAACGTGGAGGATTGTTACTGGCTGATACCAATAATAAGACCCTTGTTCTAACCTTGCACCTGTATGCTAGTATTTCTCTTGTATTACTTCAACAACATCTTTTACAAATCATACCCTGCATTTGCACAAGTGTTCAGTATTTATACCAAACTGCAAGCTAAGGCAGTTACAAGATATTTCCCAAATCTTATCTCTAACCACCCAATTATTATTGGTACTAACAATCAACAATTACTAACAGATAGGATGCTTAGCACTAACATCCAACAATACTAACAGCATAACAGCATCATAACAGCATCCTAACATTTCTCCATCCTCGATTTAATATTGCCTTCTATAATATCCGTATCTTGGAATTATAATATGACAACCGTCCTTATGGGAACACATGCTAAAATTTTCAATAACAATTTACAAACATTGGCCCAACAAGTTATGCAATTTTCTAGTATTTGGTAGTTGACACATAGAGTGCATCTTCATATATGTTTTGTGCTTTGTTACCAACTCTCAGATAAAGCAATAATTCAATTTAATATGTTTACTCGGAAATAGAGGATTAAGATACACACACACACTATAAGGGAGTGGCCCTTGAATGTATCTGTACTGTTTAGTTAACCCTAGCTTGATGACCTAATGTATAATTGCAGACTTAGTTGCCGGTGTGTTAGGCATGCGTTAGAGGCTCTATTGCAGGGTTGTGCTGACCTGGTAGATCAACCTTTGTTGCTACGGTGCTGGTTGATGATATGAGTAATATAATTTAGAAGTTTACTGAGCAGAAATATATCAAGACACTAAGTAAATATGATCAAGGGAATATTGTACAGTATTCTCTTGTGACATGTTTATTTGTTATGAACGAGAATGCAAAACATTAGAATAAGGGAATTAAATCAACTAGCCCCTTAGTCGATATCATTTATTGTTTTGGGATATTTTATTATTCAATTTAAAGTGGACCGTAGAATTAGCTGGATAAACATGGCGGCAGCAAAGAATTGAGTATGATTTTGGGCTTTATTTTAAGGAAAACTAATAAAAAGCTAAAAAATGTTTAAAAATTTTGAGTTTTAATGAAAAGGACGAAAATGTGTTGTAAGTAAATAGTAATTTGAGTGACTTTTTAGAGTTAAAATATCATTTTTCATTAAAGTGAACAGTACCGGAGTGTTTCGTTAAAACTCCCCTTATTTTATTGTTACAGAAATTTTCATTTGAATTCATATAATTAAATTTTACACTAGACTTATTCTCTATACTTATATTCTTTTTAGTTAAACTATCATTATTTCTTTAAATCTAAATTTACTACCTAAATTACCCTCACAAACTCAACTCAGTATGTATTGATATAGCTTTACACCCAATTAATGGAAAAAAAAAAAAAAACCAAAATCTAACGTCGGAGCAGCAAAAGAAAACGTGAAACGGGGTAGTAAAATTTCCTAAAGAGTCGAGAAATCGTCGAAGCAGAGAGAAAACGTGGAACCATATAGAAAATTTCCGTTGCTCTCTTCTTCCATTGATTAAACCCAAGCGTTGAGGTATTCAATACATTTTCTTAATTTTGATTCAGGTTGTGTGACTATAGAGGAACCTTACTTGAATGAGAAATGCAAAAGTGCTGCCGGACATGGATGTGAAATTAAAATATAATTAAGAGCATGAGTTGGAAGCACTTGTGAATTTACAAGTATGGATATCCTTGTCAATTTGGAAGGGTTAGCTTGACCATGGATGTTGTCCAGTACCTAAAAAAGGTCTTTCTATTCAGCATATTAGAAAAGTTCACGTGAATTTTGGTATTGGTGTTAATTTATCTTAAACTTGATAATAACTATACAATAAGACAAAAGATAATTCACGTTTAAAACTAAGTCGAGTGTAAAATGGAATTATATAGGTGCAAATAAAATATTTCCATTTGTTGCCATCTGTAAAAATTGAAGAGGACTAGACATTTTGCGTTCAAACAAACAACAAGCTTTTTGTTTGGAACTGTTTTCGAAAGGCACTTCATCATTATATTTTTCTGGAGTACTTAAAAGTGCGTATAACCAACCTAAAATCTCAGCCTGTGTACATAACACAGCTCTCTCTCTCTCTCTCACTCTCAACACTTTCCTTACCCCTTTCTCAAAGTCTTTAACGTTAACTTACATAAATCTATTCATACTTTAATGAAAAAGCACAAGAGAGGAACGAATAAACATTTATGATAACTTTGAAGACTAAAGGCCAAGGCCCTTGTGTCTTTACTGTCTTTTTTTTTTTTTTTTTTTTTTTTTTAACAAACGATATTATCTACCCTAAGAAAAATGGGTGGGCTTAGTCCTGCAATGAACTAGCAATAATGTGGTTCAAATTCACCTTTGGAGAGAATCGAACTCAAAACCTCTCATTTACAAGTGAAGATGATCTTTAGACCGTAATACTAAGTGATTTTAGTTCGATTTAAAAAATTCTTGAGGGGGCTATGAATGTGGGGTGGGATAAAATGCTTTACGCTATGAAAGGTTTGCTAGCATGCTGCAATTTATGAATGCTTGTATGCTAATGTAATGTTATGAATTATAATGCTTGATAATTTGACAGGACCGTGACTGAGATTTTAGGGGTATATGCAAAAAACTATAAATGAGGTCTTCCTTAACTTAGTCTGCAAACAAGTAGAAAACATCAATCATCAAATAATCAACAATTAGTTCAATATTCAGTAAGCATATCAACAGAAACTTAAAAAAATCTTAGATAACCACTTGTAGCAACCTCAAGCATTAATGTTTCACTTCCAAAAATTTGAAAACAACATTTACTTGGTATTATCACAATTTAACAGTCAGATATGTTATAATGATTATAAGAAATATATATGATCGTGAGATGATTATAGTATTAAGTAATTCAGTAGCTAATCCTATAATATGTAGGCAATCTTAAATTATAATATACAATATCATGGGATAATGCGGGAGTGGAACATTTTGGGGACCTCTTAAATTGGGGCCTATGCAATTGCACCTCTTGAACCCTTTCACCCATAACCCTATAATTTGATATGTTTTAGAGTTTTAAGGAGAAGAAATATATTAAAATAATACAAAAAAAATAATTTCAGTAAAGTAGAAAGGGATGAGGATCCTCTCCAAATCTTTTTTATGAGGATACTGAGGACCACTTCATCGTGTTCGTTCGTTGTACATTATGCGGCCAATTTTCGTCTGAGAATCGTTTCTGTTCAATTTTAAATAAAAAACTTCAAAATGATTTCTGATCGCAGAATAACAGATGAACAGATACGATGAAATGATCTTCGAGATTCGACAAAGAGGATCCGGATAGGATCCTATTTCAGTAGAAAGAGGGCATGGTTGAAAATTTTAATGGCATCCATGTTAAGTTTACTTTTAAATTTTGTGATGCAACAAGAGAATTCCTACTAAGTTTTTTTCCTTATATAAAACACGTTTTTTTCCTTATATTGAGGAGGTTTGAACCCAGCGGATGGTCTGAACCCATCCGATGTTCGCCTGCCGACTTCCGACATACGGGGGTCCACCAAAATGTGAAAGTAAATGGACAATAATTGGTTCAGTACAAAAGTGAAAAGACTGTACCCCACAAAGAAAATATAATATGCAGCTATTATGCGGTTCCAAAATTCGAACGCCACGTTTGCCCCTCCTCACCAGATGAAGGAAAGACTTTTTGGAAAAATGTTTTTGTGTGCCGAGAATGATCACAGTAAAAATTCTCTCAATATTTCGAACAATCTTAAGCCTACTAATTATTAATTAAGCCTCTCCAACCCATCCAAATAGATCCCGAGTCTCTATATTTAATTACCATCCGAGTATTCAAACAACCTTAAAACTTTAGAGCTCCCAGGCGACTCATACCGTCTTTGTTCAATGTTTCCCAATTCATATCATCGTGGTCAAAGCAAAGATTTGGTATTCCAGACCTCCACTATCAATTTTCCCCACCGGGAAGATATGATGCATGTACAAGATCTGATGCGGGGTCATGAGGTGTTTCCAGAGGGGAAGAATCCATCCCGTAATAAGATGATGGGGAAAGGCAAGCAACAACAACAACAGCAACATCGTATGATATTATCACCTAATTCCAACAATAATGGAGCAAATCCTAGTGATGGTAAGACTGAAAGGAAGATCGTGCGTAGGGACAACGAACGCCAAAGAAGACAACATATGGCAGCTCTTCATGCATCACTTCGATCCCTCCTCCCCTATGAATTGATCAAGGTCAAGAATCGAGATTAACCTCTTTATATATTCTCCTCAGTCTTTTTCTGTAATTTTCTTTTGTGGGTCGAGTTTTAATTTCCTGATTTAGATGATTAGTTATGTTTCGACGGTTTTTGTGCTGGGGTTACAGGGATATATTGCGTTGTTTTAATTATTTGATATAGATGATTACTTATGTTTCTAGGGTTTTTGTGGTGGGGTTACAGGGAAAACGTTCAATCACTGAGCACATGAATGAGGCCGTCAACTATATAAATCACATGAAGGCGAAGATCGAAGAACTGAATGCCAAGAAGGAAAAGATTAATAAAAAGTTGTATGAATGTGATTCTCAAGATTTTGGTCTCAGAAATGAAAGTTCGGGTCACAATTTTCTCAAGTACTCTATCATGGTTCGCCCAACTTGTTTGGGAGGAGTGGAGGTTTTGGTAAGTAGTAGCTGCGGTGAGCAGGAAGGGTTGCTTCTTTCAGGAGTGCTCAAAGTATTGCTTGCGGAAGGCCTTAGTGTTGTTGAGTGTGCTTCCACCAGAGTAAATGAAAGTTTGTTTCACACCATTCAGTGTGAGGTACGCTCGTTCTTTTTCATATAAATTCAATTACTTATATTTATCGATAGGTTTGGTATATTATTTAGACATTGACTTAATCTTAATTACCACCTAATCATGATATTACAAATGCAAGAAAATCTCACAGTGCGTTTTCTTCAATCCACAGGTTGTCAACGATTTGGCATGTCTGGATTTGTCTGAGTTGCAACTGAAACTAAATAACTATTACAATTCCAGGTAACCAAATATCTTCAATTATGGGAAAGTATATCTCGATCCCTTCGCAATCTTGATTCCCTTTGATTATAGTAAAACCCTAGGGCTGTGCTTGGGTGAGGTTTTTCCAAGTTCCACGAGATGAAGGCCAAGTTAGCAAGGAATTGATTGCAAAAATTAGATAGGAGGGATTGGAAAAGCTCTTCATGAGCATTATGAAGGCATGTAAGAGGAATTTGCAAAATCCTACTCGGAAGGTGTGATTTGCGTAACATGTTGCTCAAATTTCTGACTTTTCACTCTTAATATGCATGCAGTGCTTAATTTCTTTTAATTCCAACAATTCGAAGGTCTATTTAGAAAACGCAAAACTCTCTGAAACGTGATTTCAGTGAAATTATTGTTCTTTTGTCTAGAACATTGCAAGTACATTAGATACTATGCTCATTAGTTCGTGCAGTAAGGTATCGTTTGGTATGCAGACGGGACGGGACGGGAATGAACGGAATGGAACGGGACGGGACGGGACAGGATGGGACGGAACGGAGCGGGAGCAAAGATGCCCTCAAATGGAAACAAGGAGGAAGAAGAAGGAGACGGAGAGGTTATAATTTTGTGTTCCACGGATGTGGAACGATTCGTTCCAGGGGGGTGAGGTGGAACGAAAAGTCACCCAAAACTCGTCCCGTGGAATAGCTCGTTCCACCCGTTTTAGGCGCACCAAACGTGTGACGGAACGCCTTGTCCCACTCTATTCCATCCCGTCCCAAGTACCAAACGGTACCTAACAGAAAGTAGTACTCGTAACAACAAATAATCTTCCTTTTAGCAACTCGCTACTAAATCTTTCACAAAATCTTAGCAGAATTAATATACTCATGATCAACAGATATTAAGTTAAGCTGCTGCCTAAAATTTTACAATTCATACAAACTTTTCATTACTTGTTGTATCCATATAAAATGTTCTAATTATATGAATTTTAGACCTTTGATCTTAAGCTAAGATAACAAAACAAAATTCGTGACTGGTCAGTATACTGTATATATTCTATATAGTTATAGTGCATGAATTCTTGTTTCATTAAATTGCTGGATCCATCTCATACGTGCGTTAGAATCCATCATATAAAATTGGATAGGGTTGTGATTTGTTTGACGATTTTTCTTTTTCCTTGTGATTATATCTATTGTAAGCAAAGATAAAGTGGTTGCAAGAATCAAAATTCATGCATGATGTGTTAACATTTTTAATGAACTCAATGTAAAAATTCTTCTTCCCAAAAACGAGGGTCGAAAAGATAGTGCAGTAGAGGCTAGAATCAGGATCCTACCAACTTCAATTATTGATAGCGTTTATTTCCCTCCTATATGCATAAATGGATAACTGGAATATGCGTGTATATGGTTTTATTTGTGTTGACATGGACAAATATTATAGGACAAGACTTAGGGCTAATTTGGTATTGATGTGCTTTTTAAAAAAATTGTTTCTGCTGTGCTGTAACTATAGGGTATAATGTTAAATGTGATATAATAATTTATTTTATTTTTTATTTATAATTTCATCTTCAATCTTCATCATTTATCTTTATTTTATTTTTTATTTATAATTTTAGCTTCCATATCTCTCGTTTATCTTTGTTTTTATATTTATTTATATTTTTATCGTCCATCTCCATCTCAAATGGAATCGTGCAATTAAAATGAGACCAAGGTCATCTTTTTCCTCGTGCCCGACTCTACAGAAAAAAAATAAAAATAAAAAAATCCGATTTCAGCGTCTTCATGTACGCCTGCGTAGACTTGCATATCTCCGCCTAGTCCTTCCTAGTCCCGCCCAGGCATCCTGCTTTCCAATTTTGTGGCCAATTTGGAAGGGGTGGATTATTCGACGAGACCAGAGGGGCACCTGAGCTTCATTTCCGACGAGGGGAGGGGCCCATCGCCCCTCCTATCCCTTTATAGCTTTGCCTATGCTCTAACCCTCTGGATCGCAAGCGTTTTGTCCCTGGAACAGTTCCCATAAAGCAGAAATCTCCAGAAGATCATCCTCCCCAATAACATAATCGCATGCAGCCTTGAATTCCTCGCGAAGCCGGACTCGACTCATCCTCTCGAACCATCGGATTCGAATATCTAATACGATGAGGGAAGCGAGAAGGAGAAACAAAGAGGGTATAATTGGGTTTAAGAAAGTTTCATTAAACTTTACTGTTCATCCGCCTACTTTGAAAAAAGTAGGCTTTGAGAAGCAGCAAAAACGCTGCTTCCATTTTTCTGTTTATTTTGGCTAGAACTTTGAAAAGAAGTGCTTATTTTTACATTTACCAAACACATTTTACACTTTAACTTTTTTTTCATAGCTGCTTTTTTTATAATTTCAACTGTGCCAAACTAGTACTTATACGTGCATCGAAATAATATCAGTCTCAACTGTCATTTTAAGGTGGGATAGTTACAGCTGGATTGCATGCGTACGTTCAAAAAAGGAAATTACTTTCGTTAACCACATCTTCTCAACTATTTGATTAAATTGGACCTCAGTGCTGATTTCATTATATCCCAGCAATTGGTGAGTTTGACATGGGCATATTACTATATACTTTCAGCTACTATGACCAAGATGTTAGAAACATTCCCTTGCAAAGATCATGTTTGACACAAAAGCAAAGTACTTGATCAACCAAAAATCAAACTCAATATTCCTCATGCGATGCAATTGTTATATGTGATAGAATATAAGGTTGAGATGTTTCCATCTGTCATAAAACTAGTGTATGTTGTATGTTGAAAAGAATGTCTCTGTTGTAAAAGGATGTCGTTAGTTCGTTGGCAACATAATATGTCATCTTCACAAAGAAATCATGCACGAAGGTCGGCATCAAGTCAATATAGATAACGTAAAACATAAGTGAAATACAAACAATGTATTTGTTTCACCCACACACCATCATTATAGTGATAATCAACAATCAATTCAAGCACCTTCACTAATGATGAAAAGCATGAAAAATCAAACTAAACACCGTAACATAATGTGAGTTCCAAACATGTATCACTTGAATTTGTTTAGCACTTGTGCCCCTGTCTATATGATCATCGTAATGAATACTAATCTTTCCGAAAGAGAAGAGATAACGCATGCTACAACGAACATAATAGCCCGCTGAGAAACCCTAACTAGTCATGACTCAAGATTGGAAGGTAAACAACTGAATATCCATCGACCAAACTATATTATAGAAAACCATCTATCCTTCTTTTTTCCCCCCAGAAGCGTGTATTTTTCTTTATTCAAAATGTCTTTAATTCTTTGGATCTATGCCTTTGAAGTTTGAACAATCCATAAACTAGTGTTGTCGTGCCTCAGCCCACATTTTACCAAAAAGCATAGAGCCCACACAAAACCCAATAATTAAGTCTTCGGATATAAGGCCTAATTCAGTAGAGGTCCAATAAGTGGTCTAATTATCAGAAAGCAAATATCCTTTCCACAGCTGCTGGTTTTATGCATGTAAGCCTAGAGGGTACAACGGATTATGAATGGCACCTCGACTTACATATAACGGTAACGCTAGAGTGACAGTAACTTTTGTTACATGTAAGCTTTTTTATTCAACTCCATATCGTGCTAAACTAACGTCGTAGTAAAGTCAGCAATTAAGCGTTTTTTCCGAAGGATTACATATAATACAGGTCCCAAAGGCAGTTTAGCTTGGAGTACTTGGTCTTGGTCACGTACCCAAATTAGAGGCAAGTTTAGCTCGGACTAGTAGTTAACTTGGAGTAGTTGGATTATTATTATTATTATTATTATTATTATTATTATTATTATTATTATTATTATAGTTTAATCAGAAGCTAGAAGACTAATTTTGGTCAATAGGATGACTTTTGTATATTATATAGTCTTCGAGGAAAGTTACAATTCGGCTTTGTAGTTGTACAGCGTCACTAGCTGAGATTTTGCAGCCAAGTGTTTATTTTATCATGTATTAAGTCCTACTACAGATTGTTCATGCATCAGAGTTCAAAGCCCAATTTATCCTTTTTTTTATAATAAATAATAATTATTATTATTATTAAGGAGATGAGGGAGAGTTCGAAATTATTACAATAATTAAAGAGAGGAGGAATTTCGAACCCAGAATGTAAAGGTAGAGACCAAATGCAAGCTTAATTTATCCTTGTTTAGCTAGAAACCCTGCCATGAATCCCAACAATGCGGCGTGAATGTATGGTGAAGTTTTTAGCACAATGTCACACCGTTGTGTAATAACACTATATCTACTTATTAATAGACATATCAACATTATCGTTTATCCATATTCGAAAGCGTGATATCATTAAGGGTCAATTCGGGATTGTTGTGCTCTTTTTAAAAATTGCTCCTGTTGTGTTTTAAAAATAATCAGTTGTAAAATAAAGCAGTTGAGTGTTGATGAACTTTAATTAAAGTGTTGTGATTAGGAAAAACAATGTAAAGACGTTTGGTAAATTTTAATGTAAAAGTGATTTAAAATAGACATGATAATGTGGACAGTGACGACGACAACAATGGCAAGGGCAATGTTGTGATGATGGTGGTGGTGCCAATAAATGAGTGTGGTGATTGAGTTACAGAGGTAACAATGGTGATAGGAAATGATGATGGTGGCGGTTGTGGTTGTGGTTGTGTTTGTGGTGGTGGTGATGGCAATGGCAGCAATGATGGTAGTAACAGTTGTGGTTGTGGTTGTGGTGATGAGTATGGTTGTAGTGGTGGTGGTGCGATTGTGGTGTCTTGGTGGAGGAAACAATGGTGGTGGTAATGGTAATGGTAGTGTAAGAGGCTAAGGTTTGTAGGGGTCTCTTTGTTCTCTAAGGATAAAATATGTCTAAAAGGATAAATAATGTCATTTTTTAAATTAATGAGCATATTATAGGAATTAAAAATATTCATTAAAGTTTCAACTCGGTTTTTTATTAAAGTAGCTTTTAATACCAATTCACAAGATGCTTTTAAAATGAGCATGATATTTTATTTTTATCAAACATTTTTTTACTGCTCAACTTTAAAGTGAATCAGTTTTTTATAAATAAAAAATATATATCAAACTGAGGCTAAGTCCCTTGACAATGTAACAAAACACGAAAAATTTCTCAAGAGTGTGCGACCCAAATTGCTACAAGCTGCAAAGTATTTTAAATGCTTCACTGTTCTATGTTAAAGCAACGGAAACATTTTAATAAGAAAAGTTGAGGACTTATGAGCTCACATTTAATTGTTAAATTGGACATAGAACGGCTGAT